CCATGTTGTTCCAAATGGCAAGATTCTTCTTTTTTAATAGCTGAGTAGTATTCCATTGTGTATATGTACATCTAAGAAAGCTTCCTCTTAAGGAGAAAACAATCCATATAAATTAACACACTAGTGATTATATTGTTACGGCAATTTCCCAGAGAAATCAGATGGCACTCAGAGAGGTGGAGAGAGAGAGAGAGAGAGATTTGTCACACCGGCAGACACAATGGGATGGCTCCCCAAAGGGCTGAGCACCCAAAACCAAAAATGGCAAGGTTTTATACAGCTTGTATGAGGAAACTTGCTATCCCATCCATCATAGCATAAACATTCTTTTATTGTTCTGGAAGGGGGTTCAATGTAGTCATGGCTACCACTGTGAACAAGCAGTGCAGTACACCCAGCAACTTCTCCACTCCAGCAAGCAACAGAATCAAGGCGGTAGACTCCCCCAAGCAGCAGGCTTGGGAAACTTCCTGCTTCAATATGTACACTTAAAAGCTTACTATTTGGGGGCCTCCCCTGGTGACGCAGCAGTTGAGCGCTGGGTTGCGAGGCCTGCAGCGCCAGTTCAATCCCGGGCCACTAGCGAGGGTCCCACAAAAAAAACCAAACAAACCAGCTTACTATTTGGGGGCCTCCCCTGGTGGTGCAGCGGCTGAGCACTGGGCTGCGAGGCTGCCCACAGACTCCACAGTGCTGGTTCCATCCCTCACCACCTGCGAGGGTCCCACAGGGCTTGACAGACCTCCCCTGCCGCTCCCGCTGCTCCCCTCAGCATTGTACTTTGTCAGTGTGTCTGTTCTGTTCCCGGCTCTGACTCTGGTGAATTCTCTCACCCTCCCGTGCTTCTGACTGTACCCAGTGCTTGTATAAATAAATAATAAAAAAAAGAAAAAGACAAAAGCTTACTATTTAAACAACTTTTGTTAGTAAACCAATGTGCAGATTTCATTCAATAAATTAGGGCTAGAGTTAGTAAGCAAAGATTCTTATTAGTTAAGCATTCAGTTCATTAATATATACTTTAAAACTGTGTCATTGCACAACAAATGAGACACTGAATATATGCACAAAAAACCTTTTCAGTTATATTAGAACTTTCATCTTAACATTTTTCATGATTAACTTATACAAAACAAATTTATCATCTTGTTGCTATACCGAGAATGATAGATATGTTTTTTGCAACTTGTCCTAAAATTTGTAAATCAATTTTATAGATGAAAAGAGTTTTATTTGAAATAAGTTGCTTTTCTGGAGTGAAATATCTTTGCTTTCTCAAATCTTGTTTAGTTCCTTCTCATCTGTGGCCATATTAACTGAAACTTTGTAACCAATGCAATAAGTTTTATTTTATCAGAAAACTTTCTATTTCATGTCGCAGCCTGATAACAGATAATCTTTAGAAAGGAATTACTATCTTAGGACAAACTACTGTAGACCCAAAATTTGAAGTTGAAATTCAAGTTAAACATCCATTTTTTTCTTGTTATACAAATAAAATGGCACAATAGAGTTCTAACATGTTTGAAAGTATTTTGAGCAATTTATTGTTTTTTTGGAAAAACAGTGAGAAGCTGTGTTTCGAATAGAGGCTATTTGGTCCTAACACATGAGTGACAACATTCACAAGTAAAATTTATATCAAAACTATTTTTGTGTGATAATTCAGAAGTTAAACAAATCACTTGAAAAGAGAAAAAAAGGTCAATTAAGTAGTAAACACAAATCACATGTTAATTGCTAAATTGTTTGCTATGTTCAGTGGTCCCTTCTTTTAAAATTAAGTGAAAAATAATCCATATTTCAGTCAAACTTCTGTGGCTAATCAATAATTAAAACTAGGCCATAGTGGGCCTCCCTGGTGGCACAAGGGGTTAAGCACCGCACTATGAAGCAATCTGCAGCCTCTGTGGCACAGTTCCATCCCCAGTCTGACAGAGAGCAAGGGAACAACCCACATGCGCAGCAGACCTCTCCTGACTCGCCTGCTGCTCCCCTCAGCAGTGTACTTTGGTCAATCCGCCTGTTTTGTTCCCCACTATCTCTGATGAATCCTCTAACTCCCCTGCATCTCTGATCTGTACCCCAGCTCTTGTATGCAAAAATAAATAAATCTTTAAAAAAAAAAACTAGACCATAGTTTGTTTGCTATAATTTTATCTTTCACTGAATAACATAATAACCCAAATGAAAATAGAAATACTACCAAAATACATCAGGTAAAGTACAATCTAAAATTTAAACAAAATCCTGCCTAACCATCCAGAAAATTTTTAATAAAGAATTCTAAAAAATAATAAAATCAATCTTTGTATCTTCTAAATAATAAAAATGAAGTAACCACTCTACTATGTATGCACATTTAGTATTTAGCAGTAAGTTGTTGTAACAGGCAGGGAGCTTTTCCAATTTGACTTTAAAGGCAAAACAATTGCAGGATAAAGGAAAATTAGAATAAAAACACATTTTGTTATATACTTTCCTTAACTATATTGATATTGACATATCTCCAGAGCCTATTTAAATATTCTGCTGGTGTTCAAGAGGAGAAATTTTGAAGTGCTTGGCCCTTGTGACAGATGATGACAGCAAACATTTTCATTTTCAATTTAGTCATATTCCCCAGAAATAAGAGACTATGACCTCTTCTCAAAAGAGGGATTAATTTATCAACACCTGAAGAAACAGAGTCTTAATTGATGTGTGTTATATCATAACCAAGGAAATTACCATGAGAAATATATTGTTTTTTATTAAATACACAAAACATATATTACTATCATCCACAATGATTCAATTATGATAATTTACATTTCACACCTGAAAGTTATTTACACTTAAAATATGCTCTAGGATTAAAAGCGATATATTGTTAGAGAACACTATTCATGATACCTGAACTATTTAAGTTTTCCTTAACCCTGCTATAAATAACATTTATATATATGTACTTGCAATGAGATTTACTGTTTCATATCAACCCACATATATTGAAAGATCAACATTGACTTGTTATTTACTCTGCATTCTTTGTTTTAGATTTTTTATTACAATTTACAATGATCATGCATCCCCCACACCACCAGTTATATGAAAAATTTTTTTAAAGATATGGTCAGATTTTTATACTAGTAAAGTTTACACAGCAGGAAGTAGTATAGCTGCCCATCATTAAGGTCAAAAATGTTCTCTCAACTATTCAGACAAGTTGTTCCAGGTTTCAAGTCTCCCAAATTAAAGTCTTAAATATAAAATTTAATTATAAAATTGCCACCATCTATATATTTCAGTCATTCTTCTTGAACACTCTCTATTACAATATATGTTTTTAAAAAATATAGTCAGAAATTTCCTTATGTTCTCAAATAGTAATGAACCATGCATCATAGCTTCAAAGACTACAAACACAGTCTTATGGATCAATTTTCAGGGAATAAAAACAGGAAAGGAAACATTATAGAAAATTGAAGTGTAATCCTCTAACACAAAACTAAAAAAAATACATAATTAACTTTTTTTCACTTTCAATTTTCATTTTTTAAATTGAAGTAACATTGACTTACACACTGTATATATTCATAGGATCACATTTCTTCAGATGTATGATACCACACCCCTCCCACCACCAATGGCCTTCCAAAGAATATTAATAAAATTAATATTTGCTCACTATTAACTAACATGAACACACACACACTCACCATAGTAATTATTGGCTGCAATCATTCTGTACATATTCTTTTGAAGTATATTTTAAATATCTACCTAATATATCTGAAAGACTGAGCTATAAGGTATGAAACATGATGTGTGTTTTATTTTTATTTGATTCCCATGCATTATTATCTTAAGCTTAAACAACTAAGTGCCCTCCATTTTTGTTTATCTTTTCACTGTGTTTATTTTTTTAGAATAGTTAAGATCAATGAACATCCATCAACATGTAGATTATATATTTAAATTACTGAGACTTCTGATCTTAAATATCATATATTCTTCCAGGGGTTGTGACTTTTATAATTTATTTCATAAGTTGTAAAGTATTTAAGAGTAAATTAACATAATGATTACATTTAATAATTCATATATTTTGTTTTCACTTACAAACTCATTTCATTTCATTGCATGTCCTACTTATTGTTAATAGAAACAACTGAATTTTTTTAGGTTTAAAAATCATCTCAACATTTTAAGTCTTGATAAAAATCAAATGCAAATTATCTATATTTTAATTAACATATTTAATTATATCAATCACAGAACTTCATACTCTTAACATTTATCATCCCAGAGTATGAACAAAAGTTTCCAGTTTTTTATATATATGTTGGACATCTCTCTGCATTAAGTTAGTCATTACTACCTTTGTTATTATTTAAGTTTTGTGGTATCACTGTTGGTTAAAATTGTTGTAGCAGTGCTACAGGTTCAATATGGATATGGAAAACTGGAAAACCATACTCTCAGGAACAAGATAGACACACGTCTAAAATGTGAAATGGAAGGACATCAAAGAAAAATATCCTGGAATGGACTGGTCTTTGTAATAATATTCATTCTAATTCAGCTATCTGTATATTGTACATGTACATGTAAGCTGCCATTTGTGTGTGTATGTATAAAATTTAGAAAAACTTATAACCATCCCATTGAATTTGAAGAACATCAACAAATTTACAGTGAATTTAGACTTAATCAAATTTAAATTTGCTCAAGAGTTGAATTATCTTTTCCTACTGAAAAACCTGTTGCATGTACTTTTCCACAATGTGTACATGAAAACATTTATGGCTAAGTTAAATTATTTGTTAATTCATAAGGAAGCTATTTTATTTTTAAACTTTTTCCCACTCCTGTTTTGCATACCCAAAGGGAAAATCCACAGTTTAGAAACTCAAATGCCATGTCAATAAAACTTTAGTTTTGTTAGAACTTAGGTTCAGCTAAATATTTGAGATGTTTTTCTGATGAGTACATACTTACATTGCTCACTTTTAGTGCAAAAAGTTCACAAATGTTGTTACAGAGGTGTCCTGAAAAACAAGTAAGAGGACTATGATGAATGGGTGGTCGGAATCCCAAATGATTTTCTTCTGAAAGAAGACTCAAGAAATTTGCAATGCAAAGTTATTGCTCTGCAAGCACAGAAGACCAAAGATGCAGATATAAAAGTTGAGGTCCCTAAGAAACCATTGTTCTTCCTCAGCCCTCAGTAGAATTTTGAGTTACTCAATGTTTATTTATGTGCTAATGATATGAAACAGGCTTTGTTTATTTACATGGGCTTATACATAAATTGATAATTGGATTAATTTCAAGCTTAGCAAACTTTAGGAACATTACAGTATTCTGGTATTTGTGATCTGGTCTGTTTGTGGCTGAAGGCAGAGAACATTCAGGTTGGATTAAGACATGATATTCTGACAGTCCATGACATTCAGTGGCAAAATAGCTAATTAAATTATTACCTGTGGTCACCTAGAATGATATGTCTATAAATGACAAGACTTTAAGAGACTGAGTCACCTCTCAAAAAGAATAGAATGAAGAGCATGAGGAATTCAATGCTCTAGGGTGGGCTGGTTGCTTTTAATTTTGCTGGACAGCTTAAATAAAATGCATAACAAGCTCAAGGTTCTAAATTCTCTGTTCAGAACTCAGACAGACAACCAAGGATTTTCAGGGTCTCTCATTTCTTTTTGCCTCTAGGCTTAGATAGATGAAAATCAAACTAGAAGCTTGATCCTAAGGGTTTTCAATTTATGTAGGTTGAATTAACAATCTGACAATGCATCAAATGTGACAGAGCTTTGATAGGAAAAGAATAAAACACTGAATGTAAGTATAAGGACATATTGAGAGATTTGGATTCTTAAAATACACCAAATGTCCAGACTCTGAATCAACCTTTATTTCCAACTGAGACATCACCCCATCTGATGTGACTATTCCTGTCCTACTCAAATATCTTAAAATTATTTGACCAAAGCAGTTGGTTCCAAAAAGAACTTAATCCTTCCCACATTTCATACTCAACAACTCTCTTAGTGTCTCTAGAACGATATTGAATTCCAGCATGTGTATGAAATTATATATTCAAACATATGAAAAAGAAGTTTATATTCATAAAAGAAAAGAGTTTTGCATAGATACTTTGGAAGTACACAAGATAATGTATTTTAAGTGCACCAGATGAAAAAAGGGAAGAGAAAGAATGAATTTTTAGTTGAAGATGGATATAATGATAGGTATTCTGGATATGGATATACTGATAGGAATTTTGAGTTTATTTTGTTATCGTGCATAGATAAGATCTTTGCTTGGACAGTTATGGAAATCTTAATTCAAAAATCGTTCACACTAACATAAACGGATAATCTAGACATTCCTTTGAATATATAAAGTAAGGAAGTGAAGGATCTAGGGACATGTTTGACATGTGTGATATCCTAAATTATTCCCCAAATAATGAGGTCTAGAAAATTTTCCTTCACCAAACTTTGGAAATATCCTTAATAAGGACCACACACATCTATGAAAAGGCCAGGAGTGGAAATTTTCCTGGAGTCTTGCTTGGTAATGGGGAATGACACAGCATTTGAATGGTATTCTCAGATACAAAGTTAGCATTAGAAGGATGGGACCAGAGAAATAATCAGACTGATTTGATAAGTAGGAATCTCTGAGGTGGTTGTTTAACATAGAGTCCACAAATCTGGGATTATTTGTCAAATAGATTTTCCCCTGTGTGAATAACCAAAATTATGCTTGGTTTAGCAAACACAGCACTAAAATATTTAAGAATTGTTTCTATACTTACTTTCAGTGAACATATAAAGTAAATTTAAATTATTTGATAAACTCACAGTGTACGGAATTAAGATAATGGCAGGTTATCTGAGAAATAATACCCAAATATGCACTATAAATATTTTTGCTATCATTACTCAATATAGCTATAAGCATTCACCAGAATCATTTTTCACTGCTGAAAGAGAAATTAATTAAGTGGACAACAGCTCAAAGCTAATGCTAATTTCTGTGGTTTAGTGTTGTCCACTGGTAAAAGAAAGCTTGTAGCTATCAAGTTATAATATATAATTGGTAAGGTGAACAGTTAAGTACCCAGTTTTTTAAGTCATGGTTGAAATGATAACCCACAAGTAACAGTCTTTATGTTATATAGAGAGCCTAGTGAGACCCATGGGAATTGCACTCTTCCAAAATATAAATCAAAGCAAAAACACATTCCTGATGTTATCACACATTTCATTACTGTTACATTTTTAGAAGACCAGGAAGGTGGTGATTTCCATTTCATCCCCATATAAATTCATCTTTTTAACTAAATTGAACACAAATAAGATATGTTTTTTTTTTTATTTTTTTTTTTTATAGTTTTTTTTTTTTTTTATAGAGGCATGTTTTTATTTATTTATTTATTATATTTGTTTGTTTGTTTTGTTTATACATGCACTGGGTACAGTCAGAAGCGCGGGAGGGTGAGAGAATTCACCAGAGCCAGAGGGGAGAGCAGAGCAGGCAGACTGAAGAAGTACACTGCTGAGGGGAGCAGCGGGTGGCAGGAGAGGTCTGCGCACCATGTGGGATCCTCTTCCGGGGCCGGGGAGCAGCCGGGGATCGAACCGGCACCACGGAGGCTGTGGGCAGCTTCGCAACCCAGCGCTCAACCGCTGCGCCACCGGGGAGGCCCCATAAGATATGTTTTTTAAAAATATATTAAGCTTGTTATTAAAAGTTCATTCAACTTAGGGGCTTCCCTGGTGGCACAAGGAGTTAAGCATTGCATTATGAGGCAATCCGAAGCCTTTGCAGGATGAGTTCGATCCCCGGCCGGCCAGGGAGGAACCCACATGGCAAGGCAGACCTCTTCTGTCTCACCGGCTACTCCCCTCAGCAGTCTATTTCGATCAGTCTGCCTGTTCTGTTCCCCACTCTGTTTCTGGTGAGTCCTCTCACCACCCACATCTCTGGCCTGTATCCCAGCTCTTGAATGCATAAATAAATAAATCTTAAAAAAAAGTTCATTCAATTCAATTGAATTTCACCTGTTAATTCACATGTCTGCTGCCATATAGGAAATTGGCACAGCCAATTCTAATAAGCAAAGTCTATTTAAGACTATTGAAAACTACACTTTTAACCAGTGACATTGTTAGGGAGAAATGATGTCCTGAGCTAATCCCATACAGGCTTTGTGGACCTACCCCCACTCCAGACTAAAGCCATCAAGACATTGGGAAAGACAAATCCCGTCACCACCAAAGGGAGGGTGGCTGGGACCTGAGGGTGGAGTTGGGCAGCCAGGTTGGGTATAAAAACCAAACACGTGGGCCTTGGGCTGGCTCGCTGTCGCTCGCCTCCTGGCTACACAGCTCCTGGCTCGCGGCCAGCTCTCAGAGTGCCATTTGGGATTCCAGATTGGCGGATCGGGTAGGACTCATTTAAAACTTTGTCTCCCACTTTTCTCCCTGAGCAGTACATTTCCTCATTTCCCCTTCCCTTGTAAATAAAACTTTTATTAACCTTTCACGTGTGCCTGCAGTAGAGCATTGATAAGTCCTTTTAAGCGCGCGGGTGAGGACCCACAGTCAGGCACCTCGTTTTGTATGGGGGTTGCTCTACAACAACATGAGATCACAATTAACCTACAAAGTCAACTCTCCTACTCGGACCACAGTTTAGTCAACATTCACCTTGACAAGCTTACCTTAACATAGGATGTCATGCTATCCATTACATTGTAGCATTTTGCTAATACTTGAAAATCAGGAATTGACAGACATTCTAAATGACACCAAATATCCCAAATTATTATACCCTCAAAAAATGTCTCAGTTTGAATGATAAATTGCATATTGGCTTTATTGAAATTTTATTCACAGTATATAAGAATAATATTTGTCACTACTTTTTAAATACTTATTCTTTAATATAATTTTATGTGATCATTGCTATGGCCTTCACCATTAAACTATGCATAGTAGGTTGCCGTCATGTTATAATTGTTAAATCCAAGGAACTTAATCCATTCTTAAATTCTTTGTATTAGTTAGCAATTACTTCATCACTAACTACTACAATTCCTAGTGATTAAAAAAAAGCATCACTATTATAGCCCATATACTACTATGGGTTAAGAATCTGAGCATGGTTTACCTGGGTCTGGTGATTCTGTGTCTCTCACTGGCTGTAAACACGCATCATCCAAGGTTGAAAAGATCTTAAGGTTTGATTGAGAGTGAGTCTGTTTCCAAACTCACTCACATGGTTGCTGATGAATTCGGTGCACTGTGGGATATTGCACTGAAGGCAAAGAAAAGAAAATCATTGTTTACAAAATGTTCACTGTGTGTCAGCTACTCTAAGATACATGATATTACTTTGCTTAAATCAACTTATTAGTTATTTTGTATTGTTAATTTCACAATATTAAGATCATACTGTATATGTGCATGGAATGAAAATTATAAGAAACAATCAAATATAAGTAAAATAAAACACCAAACCCTGAAAATAGTCACTGCAACTATTTTTGTTTATACCTGAACCTTTGTAGGCAGTGTGCTTCCTTTCTGACTAACACGTGGTTCTGTCCCATTTCCCCACATTTTCCCAGTTTAGATACAATGAATTGATGCTATTCACAATAGTTGTGTTTCACAAATTTGCTGTGAAGATTGAATTAGAAAAGGGTGAAGTGGCACAAGGGTTAAAGTCTCAGCACTATCAGGCTGTCACCAGCCACTGGGGCATGAGTTCTATCCCTAGGCAGGGGGCTACACAGATGGCACAGCTGACCTCTCCTATCTCACCTGCTGCTCCCCTCAGCAGTGTATTTCAGTCAGTCTGCCTGTTCTGTTCCCCACTCTGTCTTGGGAAATCCTCTCACACACACACCCCCCCCACCCCGCACCTCTGGCCTAGATCCCAGTTCTTGTATGCATAAATAAATAAATAAATCTTTAAAAAAATAAAATGAAAGAAAAGAGTGAAGTATTGCTGCAAGGGAAAGATAAAGTGACAGAAGCATCAAGTCATAGCAACCGATATAATGCATAAACGTGTTTAAAGGTAACTACATAAAATACACTGTTGTTTCATTAACATTAAACTCACAACCAACAGCATTGTAACTCAGGTCTGAATTAAATTTCTTGTTAATACAGCTATGTTTTCCATAAGGCAGATGGCAATCTTCTTGAGTTTAGGAACAATATTCGATCAGGGTGATTTTTTAAAGACAATGAACGTCCTTATAAGGAGAGGGAGATTTGGAGAGAAACAAATATATGTTGGTAAGACAGCCATCTGAAGATGAAGGAAAAAATGGAGTGATGCAGCTATAGTCAAGAAATATCAAGGACTGCAGGCAATTCATCAGAAGCCAGGAAAAGGCAAGAAGTAATTTTTTACTACAGCCTCCAGAGGGAGCATGGCCTTGCTAACACCTTGGCTCAGACTACTAGCATCCAGGACTCTAAGAGAACCCATTTCTGTTTTAAGTTAACCTAGCTTGTGGTAATTTGTTATGGCAGCCCGAGGGAAACTAATTTAATCAAGTTTAATCTTAGCATGAAATATTAGGAAGGTAATATAGTTCTATGCCAAGTTACCCAAATAGTTTAGCTATATCAGGGATGCATGCTTATTCCTCTTATTTTCAAATGTAAAGTAGTTCAGGTGAGTAGTAGGGTGAGGGGAAGGGGAAGCAGGTGTGTAGTTTATTGTTTCATTAAAATGGTACCATATTTGTCCTCTAGGAAGGCCAAATTTATGAAAATAAATATTCCAACTTTATAAATAAACTCTAGAAAATTTGCTGAAAAGAACTTTCTAAATTGAACAAAGAAAATCATCAAATATTTTGGAGTTGTATCCTCTTAGAATTGATGTGGTTCCTTGTTTCAAGGCTACTGATTCAGATTATCCATTATCATTTCTAAATATATAATGCTATACTTCCTACTAGCTTATGAGCCCCATATTTGGAGACAATATCTATTATGCTGCTATTGTAGCCTCTGTTTTTTTTAATAGAGTATAGCACATGAGAATAAATATCTATGTAATTATAAATTATTTGATATATGTGCATGTATATTAATGCTTTTAGAACCCAAGGGCAGTTTTTTAACCATATATATGCAATTTTATAATAATATATATTGCAAAACCCAAACATGTTGTCATGATACTGGCGTTATATCTAAGAAAAGAAAGGAAAAGAAAATTAAGAAAAATTCATGTAAATGACAAATAACCTACACACATATATAATTTCATTTCAAGATATTCAAAAGAAGAGCTTATCAAGTTTTTATTCTTTCCTCTTCATTGGTAATGAATGACAAACATAATGCTATCTAAGAATATACAGAGGCTTTAGATAGGGAACTGTCCTTTGTGGTACTAAGAAGGCAACCACACAGAGCTTCCTTGGTGGCCTCGGGGGAAATTTCAGTGCTATCATCTCTGCAGCCTGTGTTTGAAAGCCAGCCAGTGAGCTAACCCACATATGGTGAGCTAACCCACATATGGCACAGCAGATCTCTCCTGTCTTGCCCGCTGGTCCCCTTAATAGTGTATTTCAGTAAATCTGTTGTTCTGATTCCCACTCTGTCTCTGGTGAATCCTCTCATCCCATGTACCTCTGGCTTATACCCCAGTTCTTCTACCAAAAAAAAAAATAAATAAATCTTTAAAAATAAAAGAAGACAACCATAACCATACACATCACATGTTTAAAGAGAAACATTTCTACTTTGGCTATTTCCAGGTGGTAGCATTTCATTTTATGTGTTTATTATTGTTAATGATATAAATACTATTCTTTTAGTATTTACTATTGTATCTTAAGAAAATTAGCAAATACCTAATAGCTAATGACATTAATTTATATATGATACCATGGAAGGGAAAGAATGAGTGGATTGGGAACACAATGGACTGTGATGTGGGAGGTGTGGTAATAAAACCCAAAGAGAAGAGATCCTACACCTTTAAGTCACAGACAATATTGTAAACCAATAAAAAAAAATGGAGGAAAAAGTCTTAAACAATGCCTGACATGACACAATCAGCATTTTATAAACAGTAATTGCTATTAATACCTTTGTAATTACTGGAAAATTTTCAAGAGATAGTATGTGACAGGAGAAATCACAGGTCTGAAGATGGGATACCGGGGATTATCAAAATTTCCAACTTCGGGCAGAAATAGTGCTTACATGTAATCATTATGAAATGAGTAAGGTTTTTCATTTTCTTATATGTTTTATAATTATAAATATAATCTAGAAGGATCTGATGTTTTGTCAGTAAAGTATGATCTATCAGGAGCCAGTAAATTAACAAATTTCAAGCAGGAAATATCTGATAAAATGATCAAAATGATTCACTAGATGAAGCTAACTTCAGATTATTTTAGCTAATGGAATGTAGATTTAATTAAATACCTTGAAAGTCAAGTAGCCTCTTCTAAACTAGACTGTTATTGATTTAAGTACTAATTAAATTCAATAAAGATGTAGTTCAATGCTCAGGTATCTTGCTTTTACTTGGGAAAATTCTAATGTGAGGAAAAAGTTATGTAGTTTACTAAAAATCAAGCTTTAGAGCCTAGAGTTATTTTTTAACTATGATTAACTTTAAATTAAACACAAAATTTATTTTTAAATAATAAAAATTATATATTGGGGGTTATAAAGTTAGTATCAGTATGCATGGCCAAAAAATGTACAGTTTAGGGCCTCCCCGGTGACGCAGCCGTTGAGCGCTGGGTTAGGAAGCTGCCCGCAGCCTATGCAGTGCCGGTTCGATCCCCGGCTGCTCCCGGCCACCAGAGGAGGGTCCCACATGGCGTGCAGACCTCTCCTGCCGCCCGCTGCTCCCCTCAGCAGTGTACTTCGGTCCTTCTGCCTGTTCTGCTCCCCGTTCTTGCTCTGGTGAATTCTTTCACCCTCCCGCGTTTCTGACTGTACCCAGTGCTTGTATAAATAAATAAATAAATAAATAAGTAAACAAACAAACAAATAAAAGAAAAAAAATGTACAGTTTAGTAATAACTCTTTGTTTTCAAAAGCAGCTGCTTTTCTATAAATTCAATTCAATAGGTACTAATTGATAAACTGCTACTTGTGTACTCCAGATGGATTATTAGGCTTTGAAAATACAGTGTTTATGTCAATAACACAGTACTGTAGTTCTTATCACATAAGATTGGCTAAAATTAGGATCTTACTCAACTTACCATGAACTTTTTATAAAATGACAATTTAAATAATATATCAGTAACAGGATTTTTAAAAATTCCTGTTTTTATTCAAAATATATTTAATAAGTATTTCATTAATGTTTTTCCTTTAATGTTTAGATAATATACAAATTGAATTACTATTCTACCCCTGTTTCCTATCATATTATCATTTTTATGAACTAAATATATATTGTGGGAATAATTATAACTGTTTCCTGAGAATGTATAATGGTATCATAATGGAAAGATTTTGAGTAGACATTTCTTTTCACCTGCCTCCTCTTTCTGTCACATGTAGATCACTAAACTTGGATTTAGAGGACTAGGACTATGGAATAACTAAGAAGATTAATGGGGAGATTAATATATACTTGTGGTTAAAATATGTAATCTAATACTGTGGAAAACAAGGTGAGCAGTATAAGTACCAACATTCTCTAGACAATTATAATGAAAAGTGAACAGAGAAATTATTTTCCTCTTATTTTCAAAAGAGAAATGTGTATCCCATGAAATACGTTATTATCTATTCAAAAAGAGAGCCTGTTAAAACTACTTCAAAATATGTGCTTTTCTTGAGACAAGCATGAAGTAGACATTGGGGACACAAATGCAATTTGAGACATTTCATTTCTACATTACTTATATAGTCTCTGTTATTATAGCTTCTTTCATAGTTAAAGAAGAAATGGAACACTGAACTTTGTGTCAACCAAAGGGAATAGAAAAACAACCCCAAAACTCAATACTGTTTAGTTCAATTTATGAAGTGATTTGAGGCAGGTAATTCAGATACTGGAAAAACTGTCTTTCACTTAAGTACCAAAAAAATCTAATTTAATGCAGTTGATATCTTCATTCCAGCTAGGAAAGCTGTTTCATCTTCATTTTAGTCTAGATGGCTACTATATGAAGTGACAATGGGCTTACATGCTCAGGTTATACATTTATATTTTGAAAAGAGCTGAGATACCTTCATTTTTCAATTTCATTGCTTACTCCAGTAAGGCTCAAAACGCGAAATGGACATAGCAATTCCACTATTTTA